ACACCTCCCGCGCAGGCACCGTGCGTGCCCAGAGGTGCTGGTGGGATTGAGCCCACCTCGGCTGGCGACCACAGGGTGCGGAAGAGGGAAATGCGAGAGTTCTTCAGTACCTGCTAATGTCAGGGCGCAGGTCTTCTGCCGTTTGGGTTTCTTCTGGTAAGAAATGGCATTTCAGTACCAGTTTTTGGAAAGCACCTGCGCTTAATGCTGCAGTAATTCTAGAATTGCCCGTAGTGCACGTTTAATACATTCTTATCGGAAGGGGCTCATCACTTCGGGGGCTTCGGCGACGTGGTCCCCATCAGAGCTGAACTGCGGCGTGAAGCCGTGTGTCCCAAGGTGAGGTCACTTGACTTTGGCACAGCAGCGATGGCCTCCCCGACCGCCAGATGAGGGTCATGGTTTTTCCTGTTGCCGCGGACATTCAGGGCATTAATCTGTTCTTCTGTTCTTCTGAAGCTGACAGACTTGCTGCAGTGGTATGCGGTCACCTTCAGAGACCCCATGATGCTCCAGCCCCCGGAGTGGTTTAAGGCGTTTATCTATTGCGAAGCCTTCTTGCAGATGCCGTTCTTCCCCGTTGCGGCGTACGCCTTCTTTAAAGGTCGGTACGAAACAAGTGTGAGGAGGTGTCCTGGGCAGCGTTTCTGCGTAACGCTTGCTTTCAGCACAGCAGAGAAGGTTTATCGGCCTCAAGCAGTTACAGGGCCGTACCCGCGGAGTGCTGGGCTGTTTTCACAAAAAGTTTTGTGTGAGAAGGCAGCACAGAATGAGGCCTGTCAGAAACGAGACCCGTGACAATCGGCCCTCGTCAGCTGCCGCCATTTCTACATAACCAGCACCGACGTTTGGCAGCTGGCACGCTTCCATGGCTGGTCACGGTCTGGGTCAAGCCTGTGTACTCATTTCGTTACTTTAAAACTTCTGCGATCACACCATCGTTCTAAATTTCCATAAAGGTCGATGATTTTCCTCGGTTGCTGCCAGTGCTTACGGTTTTTTCTGCTACCTGTGTGATGTGACTGATGGCTCGTCCTGTCACAGACGTGGTGGTTAGCGTTCTGTCCACTGAGAAGCCACTGAACCCTGCTTCTTCCAAAACACTTCAATATCGTTTCCGTTCTGCTTCCGTACAGGGGGCTGCAAATGGATAAGGACTCCTGCGATTATCTACTCCACCCACGTCGCTACAACTCTGATTGCCATCCTCGCACACATCCTGTTCCACGATTTCTCCACGTCGGAGCATCTGGGACCTCAGACGCAGCGCGAGCGCCTCGTTCTGCTCTCTGTCTACGCGCCGTACTTGCTGATACCCCTGCTGATTCTTTTCACCATGCTCTCCAGCCCCCACTACAGCCTCGGGGAGAAAAGGAAAAGGAAGTAGTGGGCTGCACACCCCCCTGGCCTGGCTTGGATTCGGACCCTGCGCTGCCGCAGTCCTCGGGCCAAACATCTGCCTCGTTGCGCTGGCTGCCGCCGCACAGCACCTGGCTCCCACAAGGAGAACTCGAGTGGGGTTGAGGTCCCCACTCTCCTTCAGCCAGGGACGGCTTTGGCAGCGGTCACCCACGTGAGCAGTCCCTGGGGATTCTGGGGGGACCTCGCTCCTCTCCCACTCGCGGCTCTGCGCGGTACGGCCGGGACGGGAAAATGAACTTCCAGCCGTTTGATGGGGGCGGGACTACGGCCGATACTTTCTGTCAAGGTCCCTTTTCCAAGATGCCTGGTAGAGAAGCACTGAAGTGAGAAATTTGTCTTCCAAGAGCATCTGCAAAATCCATAACCGATCATGTGCAGGGCTGCAGAGCTGCTCCTTTGAGGCATTCCAAATCGTGTAATAATTCTGAACTTCCTCGCCCCTTCCTTTAAAATTTCACCTTCCTTTGCTCTGCTTCGATTTTGACTAATTGTAAATGTCTGATTGGTGATAAATGTGCCAAAATCTGGATTTCTGCGTGCTGTGTCACCTTGGTTTGACAATGAGGCATACTTCCTCCAGGATTCCGAAGTACTTCAGGAGCTGTAGACAAGGCTTTGTAAATTTTCTCTCATCCCTGACATCACTTTTAGTATGGAAATACATAACTATGAAGGCATTAAACTGCACTCAATCTTCTTAAGGGCATAAGAGGAACTTAAAATGAGTGTGAGAGCGTAGATAGGTCACACAGTAAATCTATGCAGAAGTTACAGTAAACAAAACTTACTGCTGACAGAAATTCTGGGGTGGTCTGTTTGGGTTTTTAAAGTTCTCAGTCTGATCTGCAAGAATCAGACTCGGAGACGTGCGTAAGACTGCCGGTCACCAGGAAGGCTCTTCAGGCGCTGCCTCTGCATTTCAGCGCTTCACCGGCGTTAAACCGAAGCCTTCCACGGCTCTGGCAGGGCCGGCGTTTGCCTGGTGGCTTGGCTAAAGCCAGGCAGAACACGCTTCTGTCTGCACTTCAGCGCCAGGCTTGAGGTTAGACCCCAGGCGTTCCGTTCTGGAACGTCACACGCGCCGTCACAGTTCGTATACGGTGCCGGTGTCGCTCAGAAAGGTTTCTCTCATCAGTCTGCTGCTGTCGCCAGCGGTGCCCGTGAAGGAATTCACCTCCGTCATTGCCCCCTGCACGGACAAACCTCAGGCATAGTGAAAAGGTCCCAACTCTGCCGTATTCTCCGCTTTTTTGTGGGTCTGTAACTGATCGTTCTGTTTGTCATAAATTTCTGGGTTTTGTCCTAACTCTATAGAAAAAATAATGTGGTCAATATAGATAAAAGTTACCACTGCTTGTGTGTTGTGTCTTTACAGACATGACAAACACTACCTCAGGAACACTGCGGTGACTGTCCAGGAGCCATGAACGCTTCAGTTCGAAAATAACGTAGCAGAAGCAACTGATTCTGGTGTATCCAGAAAGTCTGAAAACAATAATTTATTTCCTGATTTCTTTGAAAGAGCTGTACAATGCAAAAAGGGAGAGACATAACATAGCAACAGCAGTATTAATTTAACTATAATCTGAATTAGAACTACTGACTGTACAAAACTGCTATAAAATCAAGGGACAGAACAGTCTTTACAGCTGTTGGAAAGCCTCCTTATTGCCACTTGTAGTGTAACTCACACTGAATTAAAAGACACTTCCATGTGTACAAACCATCTCTTCATTCATACACAGTGAAAAATTGCATATTTTTGAAACTCTCAAGATTCTGGAATGGTTAAGTTTCCAAGTCAGTTTGTTTTTATCTTAAAATCCTCTATTTCTGAAAAATGAACTGGTCAATGAATTCGTTCTGGTCTGCTTCAATTTTGCACAGAGTCTCGTACTCTATTCGGTATCTGAAAGAAAAGACACCCGGCGGTTACCAGCGGCCCCGTGCTCGGCGGTTCAGGACAGCGCTCGCGGGTCTGCGCCGGAGGGCAGTCCGGCTACGCCGGCACGTCGGAAAAACCCCCCCGGGGAGCGGCAGGCAGGGCCCTGGGTCTCGTGGCTCTGCACGGTTCTGCGCGCGCTGTGTGCAGGAGCAGGCACCTCCCCTGCAGACGGACTGTTGGAACCAGCTGAGACAGCGGCCTGCAGCCAAGCACGGTGCCGAGAGCGACCTTCCAGCCTACGTAATGCCCCAAAAGTATTTAACAGAGAACTTACCTTTCCAGCTGCATCTTTTTCTCCGCTATTAAAGCCTGCAGTTGCTGTTCCTGAGCTTCTCTTTGCTTTGCTATAGACTTCAGCAAATTTCGTGCACCAATGGCCTGCCAACAGAGGACGGTCAGTCACGTAGCTGAATTGGAATTTATTTTTTTAAGCCTTTTCACAACTAGCGGGTTGATTTTGAAGTGTTCCAGCCACGCTAACGATAAAGCAGGGTGACATCTGACTACTGAATGGTTGGTGGGACGGGGAAACGCTCCCTGCGGTGGGCGGGCAGATGAAGGCATCTGAGACTTCCTTCAGACTCAAGATGTTCCTAACGGCCCGCAACAACGTCACTGGCTCCTCTGGAAATACCAGCTGGGCACTGGTGACTGCAGATAGACAGGCTCTGGTTAAAATTTTTTCCCCCAGGAAAAATAAGGAAAAAAGTAATTACCTACAATTGTGCTAAGCATTAATTTCTATTTCCACAAGAACATGGGAAAAAAAACCCCACACCACTTGGTGACACGCAAAAATACATCAGGAAAATTTCAAAGGTAGTTATAGAGCTATCCACTGATCTGGTGTTTGGAAAGCCCTCCTCCTCCTCCTCCTCCTCCTCCTCCTC